GTCACTGCGACGACGGTCTTCTGGAAAGTGGTTGCGATTCTCCATGTTAACATTGTTGGCAAGGGCACGAGGATTCTCATGAATGGCTACAACTTTATTTACTTGACATGCAATGACCAGCAGTCTGATGTAGAATATTGTTATAAAAAGCATTGTCACGCAGATAGGACAGATTTGAATAACGGTGTGAATGGTTGAAGCCCACTGAATCTTTACGACGTTGTCACGCTCCATGCAACGTTCAACCAAGAGTTTCATGAAAAGTGAATTTGGAATAGGCAAATAGATTCCACAGATTAGTACAGTCACAATAAATGTCAAGGCAAGTGTGGTGTAGAATCGGGTTCTTGTTACAATCGTATAATAGCGTAAAGGCCTCGTGACGAGAAGATAAAGATTAAAACAAGTCCCACTGAGACAAGCCATTACAGCTATTACAGAAACCTGATGCATAAAGGAGAATGTCATACTTACGATAGTACAAATCTTCTCGTTAGAACCTTGAACCCAAAACATGTTCCATAGGTTCCAAGTGCTTCCTAAAATCATATCCGATACAGCAAGTATCTGGTAAAGAACTCGCATGTATTCTTGAAGCTCCTTTTGGCGTCTAATAACAACGAGGACGATCGTGTTTAAAACAATAGTCATAGTAGTAATGAGGATCCTACAGGCATCAAGCTTTATGAATTCCCCACCTTTTTCCATTTCAGCTGCTGGCTCTATTTGTTACGTACCATAAAAACGATGTTGGTGCCTGTCTCGATCAGTACTGCAGCTAGTCGGTCGATTTATTGCAAAAGAGCTGGTGGCTCCAGGTTGAAATGGCGGGTAGAACTGGTATTCTCGGGCCGAATCGGGGGAGATGCCACTAAAGTTTACGATTCCGTTTCACAGAAATGTGGATTTGTGTTGATCTAAGTCTAAGCAAGTTACTTTTGGCCCATCGGATACGAAAAATATCTGATGCGTTATTAGATCATTGAAGTATTAAACAAAAAGAATTTAGCGACAATGTACAATTTAATTCACTATTACGTCTGTTCTAAAGTGGACTCAACATGGTCTGAAGCTGCTCCTCCGAATAAACAACCTTAAATAACAAATATTTTATGGCGAAAAGTGACTGACAACATGATTTAACCATGAGGTAACCATCCATCAAATGCTAAAGGGGCCACTTATGTGAAATTAGCTCTCTTAATTTAGTTCAAACATTGCATTATGGCTTTCGAAGTAAATGTGTCGTGGAAGAACGGAAATACATCCGTCATCATGGGTTCGTTAGCGTGGGTTGGGTTTTCAGTTATGAAGAAGATGCGCTTTGTGAAGTTGTGAGTTCTATGATTCAAAGAGGCACAAATTATTCTGTCCAGATTAATCATCTATATAATAGGCACAGCAAATTGTGTAAAGGTTACTAAAACAAACAAAATGACTACACGGGGATCATGTCTATTCAATTGAACACGTTCTTACTGAATATAAAGATGGGTACACCAATTCGTGTAAAATGATATTAAAACACACAAAATGACTACATGATGTCTATTGAATTGATCACGTTCTGGAAAAAAATTAGATTAAACAAAAACTATGTTCTGTAGTACAGGCATTATTCTCAAGGAAGCGTGATGTACATAGGTCACAAGATGAAAAGGAAGGACGTGATCGATCAGTTTCTCATTTAGAGCCTGGAGTAATTCTTTCCATAAAGGAAGAATGGATGATTCAGGCCGAGACCGTCCATTTTAAACTTAAGGCGCATTGGGACTTTAGAATATTTTCACCACCTCTTCATGCAACAGAAGGCTTATGCAAGATTGTAAAGTATTATTGCTTGACCTCTAACAAGATATCCCACATTGACCATTCAGGAATATATCCCTACTGTGCTTATTCATGAGTATTCGAAATACATGTCTGGTCAAGTTTTGATTTCTTAACTACAGTAGTTTTAATTATATTGATGCACAACAGAGTAAAATGGGGGGGGGGGGGTCTGAATTACATACATCTATTTACAAAATCGACCTAACACCCTTCATGTAAAAATATGAATAACTTTAGTTTGCGTTCAGAGGACCATTTTTACCAGGTCAAAATGGCATGTTTGTCATGTGACGCTGGTCTAGTTTTAAGTTTGATAATATATTGGAACACTTACTTCTTATGATAGTATTGCTATGACATTGATCATGTTGATACAAATATAATTCTAACATCTCACTACTGATCAAAGTTTACTTGGTAATGAATTATCAGAATATTTTGCTTACATAATATGTATTTTATTGTAAGCACATGAGAATGTGGGTGTTATCAAATGTATATACTATTATGAAGAAAAAATATCATATAACATTATCGCACCTAAGAATTGTAAAGGAAGTTTAAAAAATCATCTTTATTTAGAACAATAAGAATTGCAAATAACTTCTTTCGACATCGACGTCGATTTGATCTGATTCGATTCATTCTTTCATATTTAAATACCTTCTAAAAATTAATCAACAATTATTATTAGTTGGTTAAACATACTTATTTAAGTGTTTATATACATGTATAATTACGATATACATGAGTGGATCAATGCAAGTTTAAATTTAGAAGCTCAACGGAGACGTTCAATATTAGTCAAGTACCAAGCTTTCAATTGTCAATTTCGTCTTGATTTCAGTGGAGTCTTTAGCATCAAACTCGCTGTCAAAATTCAAACTTTCTTGTCACTTGTTTGAGGCACCAACGTAGAGCTTCCAAGGACATGCATCTCGCTTCAGCGTTGGTCAACAGGTAGATTACTGCTTGTAAGCATGCACTGCTCCCTGATAAAATGTCCAGGATATTCAATGTAGACAAATCTACAGTAATCATATATGGGAAGACGTAAGGTAGCCATGAAATATAAAACGAACCAGTTAAAAGAAAAACTGTTACGAAACCTTTCAACCCTCTTTTGCGCGGCCGATCGAGATTCACGTTGTCGTTCCGTACAACGCGAATTTGCAGATTTTCCGACGGGTCACTGCGACCACGATCTTCTGGAAAGTTATTGCAATTCTCCATGTTAACATTGTTGGCAAGGACACGAGGGTTCTCAGGAATGGCCACAACCTTATTTACTTGACATGCAATGACCAGCAGTCTGATATAGAATATTGTTATAAAAAGCATTGTCACGCAAATAGGACAGATTTGAATAACGGTGTGAACGATTGAAGCCCACTCATTCTTTACGGCGCTATCACGCGCTATGCAACGTTCAACCAAGAGTTTCATAAAAGGTGAATCTGGAATAGGCAAATATATTCCACAGATTAGTACAGTCACCAAGAATGTGAAGGTAAGTGTGGTGTAGAATCGGATTCTTGTTACAATCGTATAATAGCGTAAAGGCCTCGTGACAAGAAGAAAAATATTAAAACAGGTCCCACTGAGACAAGCCATTACAGATACTACAGACACTTGATACACAAAAGGAAATGTCATGCTTACGATGGTACAAATCTTCTCGTTGGAAGCTTGTATCCAGAACATGTTCCATAGGTTCCAAAAGCTACCTAAAATCATATCCGATACAGCAAGTATCTGGTAAAGAACTCGCATGTATTCTTGAAGCTCCTTTTGGCGTCTAATAACAACGAGGACGATCGTGTTTAAAACAATAGTCATAGTAGTAATGAGGATCCTACAGGCATCAAGCTTTATGAATTCCCCACCTTTTTCCATTTCAGCTGCTGGCTCTATTTGTTACGTACCATAAAAACGATGTTGGTGCCTGTCTCGATCAGTACTGCAGCTAGTCGGTCGATTTATTGCAAAAGAGCTGGTGGCTCCAGGTTGAAATGGCGGGTAGAACTGGTATTCTCGGGCCGAATCGGGGGAGATGCCACTGAAGTTTACGATTCCGTTTCACAGAAATGTGGATTTGTGTTGATCTAAGTCTAAGCAAGTTACTTTTGGCCCATCGGATACGAAAAATATCTGATGCGTTATTAGATCATTGAAGTATTAAACAAAAAGAATTTAGCGACAATGTACAATTTAATTCACTATTACGTCTGTTCTAAAGTGGACTCAACATGGTCTGAAGCTGCTCCTCCGAATAAACAACCTTAAATAACAAATATTTTATGGCGAAAAGTGACTGACAACATGATTTAACCATGAGGTAACCATCCATCAAATGCTAAAGGGGCCACTTATGTGAAATTAGCTCTCTTAATTTAGTTCAAACATTGCATTATGGCTTTCGAAGTAAATGTGTCGTGGAAGAACGGAAATACATCCGTCATCATGGGTTCGTTAGCGTGGGTTGGGTTTTCAGTTATGAAGAAGATGCGCTTTGTGAAGTTGTGAGTTCTATGATTCAAAGAGGCACAAATTATTCTGTCCAGATTAATCATCTATATAATAGGCACAGCAAATTGTGTAAAGGTTACTAAAACAAACAAAATGACTACACGGGGATCATGTCTATTCAATTGAACACGTTCTTACTGAATATAAAGATGGGTACACCAATTCGTGTAAAATGATATTAAAACACACAAAATGACTACATGATGTCTATTGAATTGATCACGTTCTGGAAAAAAATTAGATTAAACAAAAACTATGTTCTGTAGTACAGGCATTATTCTCAAGGAAGCGTGATGTACATAGGTCACAAGATGAAAAGGAAGGACGTGATCGATCAGTTTCTCATTTAGAGCCTGGAGTAATTCTTTCCATAAAGGAAGAATGGATGATTCAGGCCGAGACCGTCCATTGTAAACTTAAGGCGCATTGGGACCGGTTCCCTCATCATGACTTTAGAATATTTTCACCACCTCTTCATGCAACATAAGGCTTATGCAAGATTGTAAAGTATTATTGCTTGACCTCTAACAAGATATCCCACATTGACCATTCAGGAATAAATCCCTTCTGTGCTTATTCATGAGTATTCGAAATACATGTCTGGTCAAGTTTTGATTTCTTAACTACAGTAGTTTTAATTATATTGGTGCACAACAGAGTAAAATGTCCACAATCTTGTTGATGTCCCGCCTGAAAGCAAACCAGTGGTCATCAGCTATGCTGGGCAGGATGGACATCAACCACTGGCCATATGTGTGTCTCTCCAGCAGCCTCGGGTCTGTGGGGGGAGGGGCAGCAGTCCCCAGTGCACTCTCCACCCTCTGAGTGATGGCTGAGGAATCAGCCAGACTGCGCCTCATCGCCTCGAGCAGGTCCTCATGCTCCTTGATGGCAGCCCCCCTCCTCCTGTCCCTCCTCCGGGGCTGTGGTGGGATGTCACCAGTCAGCTCTATCCGGCTCTCCTCGTCCGTGCCCTCCTCCTCCTCCTGGACCTCCTCCTGCACCTGCACCAGAGGTCTGGGCTGCACTCCCTGTAAATACAGGAAACAGAAGACAGATTTACATAAAATTAGGATTTTTTTCCCTCACCCAATAAAATATTGAGCAAAATGCTTTTACAAATACTAATCAATGAAAAATGAAGAACAAAATTAATTTCCGTCCCCAAATGATTACTTACTTTCAGTGTGGTCCGGCCTGGCCTCCTCACCACCTTCTTGGCCAAAAAGCCAAACAGCTCCACACATCTCTGCTGCTGGGGGGTGCAGATCCTGCCACCTGCACCGGAGGGGGGAGGCTTCAGCGCCTTCACAGCAATGTCTTTCAGAGTCTTGATACGGCGCCGCAACTCGGCTGCAGTCAGACCCATCTCTGCAGCCTTGTCATTGCATCCGCCCTGCTTGGTGTCTCGGAGCCTATAGTCCTTCTCCTGCAACATACAGAAAGAAACATTAAATATTAAACATTAAACATTAAATATTGTAACTGAAATGGGTATAGTCAAATAAAAGCAAAGTCTGTGGCCTAGGTTGTCTGTCTCTGAATAACCTTGTAAATTACATTGCATTTCACCTGAATGGTGACAATATTTGTTACCAACATTGCAAAGTTTTTAGCCAAGGTAAACATGTCCAACTTAATCTTGTTAAATTACAGTGTATATTTCACATGACTGGTGACAATATTTATTACCAAGATTGCAAAGTTGCAACCTTCCACAGCTAGCAACTTTGCAAAGTAGGTATCAATTTTTTGGACCCAGTCAGGTGAAATGGGCTGTAAAATAAAATGGAGACTTTGAAAACTTACATTTTTGTCCCACAGCCAAGGGTTCAGCTTGAGCCACTCAGAGATGTCCTCCTCCTGCTCTGGGGTCAGGTTCACAGCTGGGGCCTTGGCTTTCCTCCGCTTCTTCTCTGTCACAGGCACCTCTGACTCTGCCTCATCCTCCGAGTCTGCCTCCTCCTGGGCTGCCTCCGACTGGACCTCCTCAGCATCACTGTCTTCATGGGAATCTGAAAAGAAACAGATGACAAAGTTTTAAACAAAATTGGATAAAGCAGCAAGTATTAACCTGAAAGTGAAATTATTCATTATAACCTGAAACATAGTGAAAATGTGTCAAATAATAAATGCTGCCATCACCATGGAAATATGAGACCACCCCCACCCCCAGCCAAACCCTAAAAAATCCCCACCCCCCAGTCCAACCCAAAGTTTTTTTTTTTTATTTATTGGATTATTTTACAAGTTTAAGAGCCAACAAGCAAAGCTGAGAAATGTTTAAATCTGTGGCACTAATTTAATTCCAAAAATCACCATTTTCAAATTGGCACTAAGTGGCACTAAAAAAAGTGGCACTAAAAAGATAAATGGCACCAAAAAAAGATAAAATAAGAGATGTTTTTTACCTCTACGCTTCCTCTTGTCCCTTGCCTTGCCCTTTTTTCCACGTCCCTTGCCACGGTCATCTTTGGGGGGTGGGGGAACCGTCAGCTCTGCCAGGGATGGTCCCTCTTCTTCTACCTTTTGAGCCTCTTCCTCTGCCTGGGGAGGCTGTTGTGGCTGCTCACTCACTGGAGGATTCTTCCTGGTTTTTCTGCTACTTCTTCTGCCAGACATGATGCACACGAAAGTCCAAAAAAATGGAGAAGACTAGATCTCAGACTTGATGAAATGCGACTGAAGCAAGCTCCGATCCACGTGGGTTTATATGCGGATGGTGCGGACGCCAGAGGAAGCCAACATGCGCAGACACGAGCGTAACTTATCCGTATCGTCCGTAAGTCATCCGTATCGTCCGTAAGTCATCCGTATCGTCCGTAAGTCATCCGTAAAATCCGTAAGTCATCCGTAAGTCGTCAGTAACATGTGTCAGCGGGTTGGCAGCGGATGGGTTCATCCGCAGGTTTTACCCGTAACATCCGTATTTCATACGTAACATCCGTATCGTCCGCAGAATATAGGTAACTTTTGCTCAAATTTCCGTATTGGGGTTAAAAATTACGCATTTTCATTATCCAAATATACGCAGGCATCCGCAGGTCCGTAACATGGCCGTGTGACTGTAGCATAATACGGCGCTATCACGCGCTATGCAACGTTCAACCAAGAGTTTCATAAAAGGTGATTCTGGAATAGGCAAATATATTCCACAGATTAGTACAGTCACCAAGAATGTGAAGGTAAGTGTGGTGTAGAATCGGATTCTTGTTACAATCGTATAATAGCGTAAAGGCCTCGTGACAAGAAGAAAAATATTAAAACAAGTCCCACTGAGACAAGCCATTACAGATACTATAGACACTTGATACACAAAAGGAAATGTCATGCTTACGATGGTACAAATCTTCTCGTTGGAAGCTTGTATCCAGAACATGTTCCATAGGTTCCAAAAGCTACCTAAAATTATATCCGATACAGCAAGTATCTGGTATAGAACTTGCATGTATTCTTGAAGCTCCTTTTGGCGTCTTATAACGACCAGGACGATCGTGTTTAAAACAATAGTCATAGTAGTCATGAGGATTCTATAGGCATCAGGCTCTATGAATTTTGGTGCAACAGTCGCAACTTTTGCCATTTCAGCTTGATGCTCTGTTTTTGTTTATGTACCAGAAAAACGATGTAGGTGCTTGTCACGATCAATACTGCCAGTTAGGAATTTTCAAAGCTAGTCAGTCGATTCTATTGTAAGAGGGCCGGTGGCTCCAGGTTGATGTGGCTGGTAAAAACGGATATTCGTGTCGATTCGGGGTAGATGCAACTAAAGTGCAAGATTTCGTTCGACATAAATGTGGATTTGTGTTAACCAAAATCTAAATAGTAAGTGACTTTGGGCGCATCGGATACGCAGATTCTTTTATTCGTTATTAGATCATTTTAGAAAAAGAAATGCAATTTGTTGGCGACGATTCACTATTGTTGATTCACTATGAAGCCTGTTACCAATGTGGACTCAACTTGGTCTCATGCTACTGCTCTGAATAAACAACCTCGATTAACAGTTATTAGATGGTGGAAATTGACTGACAACTTTAATATAAAGTTTAATATAAAGAAGCATGCACCACCCGTCAAATGCTAAATGGGCCACTGATGTGAAATTAGCTCTCTTAAATTTGTTTAAACATTGTGTTATAGCTTCCAATGAAAGTAAATTTGCTCATAGGAGAACAACGATACATCTGTAACCATGGTTACGTGAGCGTGTGTTGGGTTTTAAGTTATAAAGAAGGTGCGCTTTGTACAGTGGTAAGTTATGAGATTAAAAGAGACACAAATTATTCCGTCCTTATTAATCATCAGTATAATTTCTACTGTAGTTAAAGAGAAGGCTGAGTTCTGGGAAGAGGTGAGCAATAATTTGTGAGCGTTATTATTGTTATTATGCAAGTGTGAAAGAACATCGGATAAAGAATGTTCCTTGAAAAGCATAGCTCTTCAAATGCCTTAATATTCTAAATATGGCATGTAACATCATAAAGTCGTGACGGAATTTTATGCCACATATTCGTGAATCCATATATGCACCTTTCCGTGTACAGTGCTTGTAACTTTACCAAGACTTGGCCAAATCATTCGCATGACCAGAACTAAATCTTAATCTTTGAAGATGGGCCCAGCAATTTGTGTAAATGCTGTGAGAAAAACACGTTACTCTACATGATTGACCATTTCTATTCAATTTGAATGTTCTGGGGAAGATAATGGAGCTAAAAAAAATTGTGTTTGTTTAGTACAGGTATTTAAAAAACATTATGCTCATGGAAGAGTGAAGTTCATAGGTCAAAAGATGAAAAGCAAGAAAGTGATTTGTGTAAATGCTGTGAGAAAAACACGTTACTCTACATGATTGACCATTTCTATTCAATTTGAATGTTCTGGGGAAGATAATGGAGCTTAAAAAAAAAATTGTTTGTTTAGTACAGGTATTTAAAAAATATTATGCTCATGGAAGAGTGAAGTTCATAGGTCAAAAGATGAAAAGCAAGAAAGTGATCGCTATGTGTTTCTCAAGGAGTCCCTTCAGTAATTCTATTCACATGGGTCGAATGTTTTTATTTAGGCCAAGACCGTCCTTTTTAAAACTTGAGGAGCATTTGCATCGATTTGCTCATCAGGGCTTTCGAATGTTTTCACCACCTCATCATGCAACAAAGAAGGCTTATGCGAGATTGTAAAAACATAGATGCTTGACTTCAAGCAAGTTTTCACTCGTTGAATATTCAGGACAATCCCTAATGTTGATGGGGTGATTTCAACATGCATTGTAGGCAATTATTGATATCTCAAATTTTATTCACATTGCAAGACATTTTTGCATATTTCGTATTCTATTTCGTATTCTTGTTTCCACTCCACCATACAACACAGAGCTACGTGCACATCCATCATTCGCTACCACTGACCTCTTTCTTCGCTACACACACACACACACACACACGCACACATGTACGCACATCCATTATCACGATTCAAATTCAACGCGAAACACAGAGACTGCTAGCAGAACATATTTTATCATGTTTTCTAATGTTTATTGGTTACTGAATTATTCTTTTTTTTTAAGGTCATTTTTTCCTCTAGTGAAAAACGCTTTCAGATGTTTCATTCCAAAAGGAGCAAGATCATAAAATAATCGTTTAAATACTCTGAATACGTTAATTTTTTTTAAAATTTGGACTGATCGTCTAGAATAGTGACTGCATCATAAACAACAAATATTGTACAACTTGGCTGAAGGAAACTTGATTCAAATCTATAAATCTGTAATCGTCACAGAGGATTTATATCCTTTTAGAAATAAGGACATTTGAAATAAACCTTTTGAACAAAAACATTTTTGAATGCCTTTTATTGCATTTGATTTTGATGTGTCAGGTGCGATTTTTCAGTCCAATAATAACATTAAATTATATAACAGTAATATAAGTTTCACAATTCTTGAACATACACCCTGGCAGTCCTCAAAATGTTTATGGATGACCTTAAAATGCATCTCATTTCCGTTGGTTTTCAGAGTGATTATGAATAAACATTCCATGTTTAGTTTATATTCATGATTTATGTTAAGTTTATATTAAGTTATGAAGCCGTAGAGTCACGGAGGAAGGGACGATGATATGATTCCGGGGCATCCTTTGAAGGCTTGAAGAGTAGAATATGGGTATGCGGGCCTTTACGGTGTTAGGGAGCTGAACTATCCTACCCATGAATACAACGTTCCAGGTCATCCTATAAGGCAAGCCTTCGTATTATTCATAACCTTCCCCCAAATCGCAGAAAAATTAAGATATTCCGAAAGAACCTTAATTAGTTGATTTCGTAGATCTTGTGTAAACCTTCTTGAAAATAGCAGTTGTACAAATATTTTTCAATGTTCTGAAAACAAATTCCATTTCTAATGATTCCAGAACAGGCGTATTAGTTTACAATTTTAAGAGAAGTGAAACTCTCTGCAACGAGGCATCTGGAAAGGACTGAAAAACGCAAACTTAGTAGTCTCATTATCCTGAGTGTATACTTGTTGAACTTTCCTTGTTCATTTCATTTCATTTCATTTATTTTCCACATTAAAAACCAGAAAAATATACAAGGTAACAGATTACATTGTACACATTTGACACATAGAGCAAATGAAAAACAGATACATAAGCATAAAAGAACAATGAAAATCTACATCAGTTAAGAATCATCAACATTAAAACATAAAAAGGTATGTAATGTAGATGGGGCTAGAAAAAGCGAAGCTTATCGAGTCTAGCCCCGGTAGCAATGAAGGGGAAGTCCACCCTGAGAATGTGTGTGGCCAAGTAAAGGCGGAGTAAACCCATCCTCAGGGTAGACTCTCCCTTCAAATGTCTGGTTTTTATAATTAGATTAAATTGACCCGATGATAACATAATTGCGATTTGAAACATAATAATAATTGTTATTAAATTGATATGACTATTTAGAATTGCAAAGATATTGTTTTGTATTTATACTTAAATTGTCGTAATGATGCAGATTTTTTGAGACTGTCATCTAAAGTAGACCACGTAAGGTAACCCTGATACTTAACACTTCTTTGGCCAGTAGCAGTTCTGTAATAAATGCTATACAAATTCTTGGAGTTTCGGGTGTTACAAAAATCTAAACCAGTTTTGAAGTGAGTTTGGTAATAGTCCCTTTTCAGACCTGTACATAAATTCTCCCAGTTGTAACCTACCTAATTCATATACAGTAAAAACCCTTAATTGCTTAAAGATATTGTTGGTATGGGCCAAATAATGAGACTTGGCAACTATGCGTTGTGGCGTTGTGGCGTGCACCTGTAATCCAGCTTACAGTGGAAGTTACAAACTGATTCAGCCGAGGACGCAGGTTCGAAACTGAGTCACGTCTTTCGGATGGTGACGTTAAAGGTCGGTCCCCAGACGTAAATAATCATATCTGATTGATACACGTCTGTAAAAACCAAATACACACACACACACACACACACACACGGCAACTATGCGTATTACACGTTTTTGCAACAAATGTAAACGATTTAACAATGTATTTGATGCATTTATCCATAGCATATTACCATATTGTAAATGAGGAAGAATTAATGAATTGTATAGCAAAAGCAGTACCTTTGACGGTAAT